GGCAAATCCAGACTTGATTTGGGGTGGGGGGGAATCTTTGTAACAAGTAGAATTATTCAAAAGGAGAAATCGGCTGCCTCAGGAGGTAGTGAGTCCCCCCCTCTCTGGAGGTCTCTCAGGCAAAGGCCAGATGACAAAGTGTTGGGTGTGCTGAAGAAATTAGATTCAGGTACAGGTTGAACTATGTGGCCTCTGAGGTTCCTTCCAATTCTGTGATGTCTGCAGTCTTTCCAGGTTTCACATTCTGTGAGTTTATGAAATCTCAGAAGTGATGATACTTTTCTATGTTTGCATAGGAAAAGGTGTCTCTCTAGGTCACACAAAGGCACACCCCCTCACATCCCTTCCCCCCCCAGGTACAATGAATTGGAGAACAGGGGCAGGTTGTTCCCATGGGAGTTGAGGTAGATCCTTTGGACTCAGCATCCCATTTCTGGGTTATAGGACCTTAGATCTAGAGTCCATCTGATCTATCCCCCTCCCTCCCATCTAACAGATGAGGAAACAATCTCTGGGGGATGTTCAGTGACTTGCACAAGACCACCACACAGATAGCAACATTGGTGGGATTTGAACACAGGTCCTCCAAATCCAGAATCAAGGCTCTTTCCCTTATGTTCTAGATGCAAGTTCTTTGTAAGGTGCTTCCTATTGCCTCTAGGATAAAACACAAACTCCTCCTCTGGCTCCAGACTATCTTTCTAGGCTTATTGCAAATTATTCCCCTTCATCAGCACTACTGCTCTTCCCAAATGGACCGTTTGCTGTTTCCCAAATTCAGTATTTCACCTCAGCCTCCATCTTCCATCTAGTCTCTGCATAGACTATTCCCTATGCCTAGAATACATGCCCTCCTTATCTCTCCATCTTGGAATCCCTAGCTTCCTTCAAAACTTAGTTCACATGTTACCTCCAATAGGAAACTTCCCCTGCTCACACTTAATGCTCCTCCCCTCCCCCCCAGCAGAATTAAATTAGTTGGTATTTATTTTGAATATATTTTGCATTTACTTTCCTGTGCTGTTTCTGCCCAGTAGAATATAAGGCCCTTGAGGGTAGAGGCCAATTCATGTTTATCTTTTTCTATCTAATACCAAGAGCTCCCCTGTGCTATGTTCCCTCCACCCACACTCACACAGAATATGTAGGCACACAGCAGATGCTTAATACATAGTTGCTGAATTGAATTACCTATTTAAATTTGAGATCCCACACACCCCAGGTAGAATGTAAGCAACTTGAGGACAGGGGCTGCTTTGTTCTTTGTATTCCTAGTGTCTAGGTGCACAAATTGGACTGAATTGAAGTCAGGGACTGCCTATGCTAGGAATCCAAGTTCATTTGTATGAATAATAACTTCCCAGGTCACTTCCTCAATAACTTTAGCCAATGTTTCCTCAGGAGGTTTAGAGCAAAATGTTTTCTATAGAGCACACATCATTTACACTAAACATTAGGAAGAAAAAGGCTTGCGTATGTCCTCTAGGAAGACCATATGATAACAGCTTAACAGTACAGGGCCAGGAAAAGTTATGTGCTGTTCAGCCAAAATGTTGGCACAAATTCAGCTCCATGATTCATCCTTACTCACAATTCTCTTTGGTACTTATTCGTTCTGCTGTACTAAGTGCAGAGATTTGTCACTAAAGGGTTAGTCACCAAGTGACAAATTTTTTGCCTCATTAGACAATCTCCTAAGGTATAAGGAATGACGGTCTTGATTGGCAGAAGTACCCACCAGTTCTAGGCATACCAGATCTCAAAATGTTTTATAAAACAGTAATTATCAAAACAATCTGGTACTGGCTAAGCAATAGAATGGAATCAGTGGACAGATTAGGTACAAATTACATCATAGTAAATGACCATAGTAATCTAGTATGTGATAAACCCAAAGATCCTTAGCTTTTGAAACAAAAAACTCATTATCTGACCAAAAACTGCTGGGAAAACTGGAAAACAGTATGGCAGAAACTAGGTATAGACCAACATGTCACACTATATGCTAAGATAAGGTCAAAATGGGTACATGATTTACACAGAAAGGGTGATATCATAAGCAAATTAAGATAGCATGGAATAGTTTGACTGTCAGATTTATGGATAAGGAAAGAATTTAGGACCAAAGAAGATGCAGAGAGTGTTACAAAATGTAAAATAGATAATTTTGATTACACAAAATTAAAAAGTTTTTGCACAAACAAAACCACCGTAACCAAAATTATAAGGAAAGCAGAAAACTGAGAAAAAAAATTTGCAAAAAATATCTCTGATATATAGAGAACTGAGCCCAATTTATAAAATATAAGCCATTCCTCAATTGATAAATGGTAAAAGGATATGAACAGGCAGTTATAAGACAAAGAAATCAAAGCTATCTATAGTCATATGAAAAAATGCTCTAAGTCACTATTGATCAGAGAAACACAAATTAAAGTAACTCTAAGGTATCACCTTACAACTATCAGAGTGGCTATTATGACAAAAAAGGAAAACGTTGGATGTTAGAGGGGATGTGGGAAAATTGGGACACTAATGCACTGCTGGTAGAGTTATGAATTGATCCAACCATCCTGGAAAGCAATTTGGAACTATGCCCAAAGGGCTATAAAACTGGTCTATATCCCAAAGACATCAAAAAAAAAGGGGGGGGGAATATTTATAGCAACTCTTTTTGTGGTGGCTAACAAGGGATACCAATTAACTAAGGAATGGGTAAACAAGCTGTGGTACATGATTATAATGGATTATTATTGTGCTATAAGAAATGATAAGCAGTAAGGAGGGAATAACATACACACTCAATTGGGTATGGAAATCTACCTTACCCTACAGGAAAGTAGTGCAAAAGGGGATAAGAAAGGGAGGGCAGATTGGGGAAGGGGGTAATCAGAAGCAAACACTTTCGAGGGACAGGGTCAAAGGAGACAATAGAATAAATGGGAGGGTGGGATCAGATGGAGGGAAATCTAATCTTTCACAACATAACTATTATGGAAGTGTTTTACATAACTACACATGTATAACCTATATTTAATTGCCTGCCTTCTCAATGAGAGTAGGTGGGGAGGGAGGAAGGGAGAGAATTTGGAACTCAAAGTTTTAAAAAACGAATGTTAAAAATTGTTTTTATATGCAACTGGGAAATAAGATACACAGGCAATGGGGTATAGAAATCTATCTTACCCTACAGGAAAATAGGAGGGGAAGGGGATAAGAGAAGGGAGAGGTGATAGAAAGGAGGGCAGATTGGGAGAAGGGGTAATCAGAATGCATGCCATCATAGGGGAGGGGAGAGAGATGGGGAGAAAATCTGGAACTCAAAATCTTGTGGAAGTGAATGTTGAAAACTAAAGATAAATAAATTAATTTTTTAGAAAAAGATGACAAGTAGGAAGATTTCAGAAAAACCTGGAAAGACTTACATGAACTGATGCATAGTGAAGTCAACAGAACCAGGTGAATATTGTACAAAGTTAACAGCAATACTGTTTGATGAAGAATTGTGAACGACTTAGCTATTCTCAGAAATACAACACTCTAAAATAATCCCAAAGGACTAATGATGAAGCATACTATCTGTCTCCAGAGAAAAGAATTGATACTGACTGAATACAGACTGAAGCATGCTTTTTTTCACTTTCTTTCATTTTCTTCTTTTATTTGAGTCTTCATGTACAAAATGACTAATATGGAAATGTTTTACATAATTGCACATGTATAACCTATATCTGATTGCTTACCATCTAAGGGAGTGGGGAGAAGAGGCAGTAATAGAATTTGGAACTCAAAGCTTTAAATAAAAATGTTAAAAAAAATTACAAAAAAAAGAAGTACCACCAGTGATACAGCCACAGATCTTTGGAAGTAATAAAAACCATTAATGATGATGATGACAAATACCGTGCTCTTGTAATTGACATCTTTATATAGTGCTTTCATATTCCTTTTTACATATACATGCATATAGCCCTCCATATATATTTATTTCTCATAGACCCTGGAGAGGAGGGAGGGGAATTTACCAAAGGCATTATAATCTCCCCTTTTTTAGATGGGAAAACTGGCAAAGAGTGGGTAAGTGATTTGGCCAAAGGCACACATCTAGTAAATGGTAGAGCCAGGACTGCAATACAAGGGGCATCGTGATCCTAGCCTAATGATTCCATGTAAAGCTTTCTCCATTATATCATAATAGCTTTCTATTTATTAATTGTACAGTATTTATTCATTGATCCTTTTACTCTCTCTTACATATCTGTCAATCAAATGATATATTCAACTCTGTAATGCTTTCCCCCTCATTCACCAAAATTAGCTTCTCTGCCTCATTACCTATTTATGTTGCTCTTGTTTGACAAAGCGTGGCATCAGACTTGTAGTCAGAAAAGATGTAGACTTCAGAAACATACTGGCTGTGTGATCCTGGCTAAGTTTCTTGACCTCACAACCTCGGTTTTCTCATCTGTAAAATGGGGGTGGATAATAATTATACCTAGGGACAGCTGGATTGTGGAGTGGATAGAGCACAGGTTTTGCAATCAGGAAGACTCATCTTCATGAGTTCAAATCCGGGCTCAGACACTTATGAGCTGTATGACCCTGGGAAAGTCACTTAACCTTGTTGGCCTCAGTTCCTCATCATAAAATGAACTGGAGAAGGAAATGGCAAACCACTCCAGTATCTTTGCCAAGAAAACCCCAAACAAGATCATTAAGAGTTGGACACAACTGAAATGACTGAACGACAACAACAATAACATAATTATACCTAATTGTAGAATGGTCGTGGGGAACAAAAAAAATTAAATATGTCAAGTGTTTTACCGATCTTAAAGCACTATATAAATATTGGCTCACTGTTTTATTCTCCAAGCTTTTTCCTGCATACCTTTACCTTTAAAACTGAGCAATCACTAAGACACAGAAAGAATGAGGAGCAAATGCCACCTTCTTCAAACACATCTATTTCAAGGCTTACAAAATCCCCTTTTCCTTACCAGGCTTTCAGCAGTAAGGTCTGGCAAATCGTGGATGGTACAGGAGGGATAATCCAGGACTGAGATGCTAGAAAGAGAAGAAATGAAGAGGAGCAGCATTAAGGAAGCATACCAGTAGAAGAGTGAGAAGGTCACAAAGATACTTCTCCCACCAGGATCCCATTGCCTTCTGCGCTGCCCATTGTACAGGCAGAGGCCAGCAGCAAGCCATGGCCATTTGCCCCATTCTATGAACCTAAAAGGACAACTTCCAGAACCAGTCTCTCCTGGATGGGTAAAGAGGACTAGAAACTACTGATACACGATAGGTTTTTTTTTTAAGTTGTATAGATAGATTCATAGAGACATTTCCCAAAGCCAAACAACCCAATTCAATAAGTATTTATTGAGGACCTACTATGTGCAAAGCACTGAGGATACAGAGAGAATGAAAAACAGTTTTTGCCCTCAAGGAGGTTACATTCTATTGGGAGGCTACAACTTCTTAACAGATATGTATATACCTGATAACTTGAAGAAGAGGGAGAGAATGTGAAATAATGAAGAGGGCCAGGAAAGGCTTCTCATACTAGATGGTACATGAGCCTAGCTTGAAGGAAGCTAGGGATGCTAAGAAGTGGAGGGGAGAATGGAGTTCACTCCAGGCATGTACAAAGACATGGAGGTGGGAGATGATGCCAGGTCTAGGGAACAGCAAGTAGCTTGCTGGAACATAAACTTTGTGAAGGAGAGAAATGTGATGAAAGACTGGAAAGGTAGGCTGCAGCCAGATAGCTAGCACATCCCAGTGTGGAAGGCTGAGGGAGGATACATGCTTTCCTGGGCCTCTTACAGCAGCTCTTTCCAAAGCCAGCAGCTTCTCAGTGTGACTCCAAGGAAGCCAAGACACTCTTTCTGTGCCATCTCTGAAGCAAAAGCTTTGAGTGGGGACAAGGGGATAAAGGAAGGATTGGCTTCTTATAACCAGGGCCAATCTGGCAGTTCAAGTAGGGTAATAGGATATGTCCCCTACACAGATGGAAGACTGAGTTGGTGGAGGCCCACAGTACAGCACGCGTGAGTCAGAAACTGAAATAGCTGAGGGCTGAACACTCAGGGCATGTGGCTGCACTGAGCCACAGATCTGAAATGTTTGCATCTGAGCAGCTCGAAGGGTCAGCTTAAACTTCCCCATGCTTCAGTTTTTTCATGTGTACAATGGCATCAGATGACCTGAGTGCAAGAGGACTGACTCCCAAATCAGAGAAGCTGGGTTCAAAGTCTCACTTTGCTACACCTCTGACATCTTGGAAAGGTCACCTCCACTCGTTCTGGGCCTCAGTACCCTCTCTTGTAAAAATGAACATATGGGTCTAATTTCAAAGGTTCTTCACATCTCTAAATCCTATTTGTTGTTGTTGCTGGATCTGAGATTTAATTGGTATAGAAAACATTCTCTATGAATGCAGAGCAGTAACTTCTCTGAAATTTAGAGCCTTAGAGAATTAGCTGTCTAGAATTCTGACTGGTTAAGTGACTTCCCCAGGATCACACAGTCAGCATGTCAGATATGGGGCTCGAAACCCAGGTCTTCCTGATTCCAAGAGAAGCCCTCTATCTACTATAGCATGCTGTCTCTCCTATGATCTACTTTGTATGGATAAAATGACATCATAGATGTGAAATGTGTAATTTTGACTGGGTAGGGGGTCCTATAATAGCCACACCCTCTCCCCATCCCTTCTTGTTGGTCCTTTCTCAAGTCTGAGGCTTTCCCCAAAAGCACAAGTTTCTGGGTACCTACAGTGACAACTCAGTAAAAAGCAACAATGAGCAGTGGGCATCTCATCATCCTCAAATAGACTACAAACATGGTTATGCTGATGTAGCCTAAGATCAAATGAACCAAAAGAATGAACGTAGTTTGAAGCACCAATATTACAGCATCTAGATCTGGAACAAGGGAAGTGAAAGTCCTGGGCTGGTCGTACCTCACGTATAACACTGTAGCTAGTTCTAGGTTCTCTTACATTTAGAGAGGAACAAATGGGAGCACATCCAGTGGAGGGTGACCAGGGTGGTAAGGGGACTCAAAACCATGCAAAAAGAGGATCTGTAGAATGATCTAGGAATATTTGACCTGGAAAATTGAAAACTTCAGAAGGATGTAATAAATATCTCAAATACTCTAAGCCATCTGTGATATGGAAGAGAGGTTGCTTTTATTTGGTCTCATATAGTAGAACTAGAACTAATGGTAGAAGTTACCGGGAGGCAGATTTGGACACCATGTAAAAAGAAACTTCCCAACAACTAGAGCGAATCACAAATGAAATGCATTGCCCTTGTATGAGATAGTTCAAAGGTGGAAGGGACATTAGAGGGCACCTAGTGCAACCTGTACCTGAACAAAAACTTTTCTAAAATGTCTTCCATTAAATGATCCTCAGACCTTTGTTTAATGACTTTCGAAGACAGCCCATTCTGTTTTTCAACATATATATATATATATATATATATATATATATATATATATATATACACACACACTTGTTAAGCATTTTTTCTCTACAGCAAGCAGAAATTTGCCTTTCTGCTTCCTCCACCTATTAGACCTATCAGTTTGGTCTCTGAGGCATATGCTCTCCAATATTTGAAGGCAGCTATCATATCTCTTTCCAAGTTCAAATCCGGCCTCAGACACTTATTAGCTGTGTGACCCTGGGCAAGTCACTTAACCCTGTTTGCCTCAGTTTCCTCATCTGGAAAATGAGAAAGAAATGGTAGACCACTACAGTGTCTTTGCCAAGAAAACCCCAAATGGGGTCCCAAAGAGTAAGACACAACTGAAATAACTCAGCAACAACAACATTCATATCTCCCAAGACTTCTCTTTTCCAAGCAAAACATCTCTAAGTCCTTCAACCAATCTTCCTATGGCATGGTCTCAAGGCCCTCCGCCATCTTGTTCAGCTTCCTTTGGATACTGACCAGCCTATCAATGTCCTTCCAAAAATGAATTTTAAGAAAATTCCAGAAGTGGCAATGATTAGAAACATTCCAAGCTTAAAAGCTATTATTTCTCTGTTTGGGATAATGAAGAATATTGTTTCCTACAGAACAGAAATTGTAGGGAGGAGTGGAGCATTCAGAAAAATGGAATTATCCTAAAGAGTAATCACAAATGCCTTATTCAAAAATATGGTTCTGCCTCTTTGGATGTGGTCTACGAGAGAGGCTTGCCATAAGCCCAAAGGGGCTCAAGGGTCTATCTCCAGGCAGAATCTGAGGTCCCAAGTGAGCTATCCTTAACATTTAATTGCCCAAGAAGTTATGGCAAATTTGAGAATGCCGAAAAGTACCATTCTTGGTACTTGTAAAGGCTTCTAAGAATTCCCTGCTGCTAAAGGTCTTTCTAACTTCCAAAAAAATCCATTGCGGATAAAACCTTTCTAGATTGAGGACGGCAGACATTTCATCTTAGAGGTTTTAGATTTCTTAAAATGTCACAATATAATAAGACAAGCAGGATGGTTTCAGAAAAACCTTGGAAGACTTACATGAACTGATGCAAAGTGAAATGAGTAGGACCGAGAGAACAGTGTACACAGTAACAGCAATATTATATGATGAATGATTTAGCTATTCTCAGCCATACCATGATCAAGATAGTTCTGAAGGACTTATGATGAAAAATGCTATCTATCTCCAGAGAAAGAACTGATGGAGTCTGAATGCAAATTGAAGCATACTTTTTAAACTTTCTTAATTATTCTTGGGGGCTTTTTGTAGGGGTCTGCATTTTCTTTTGCAATATGGCTAATGGAAATGTTTTGTATGAATGCACATGTGTAATCTATATCAAATTACTGGTCTTGTTGGGGGGGAGGGAAGGAAAAGAAAGAGAATTTGGAACTCAAAATTTTTAAAAACAAATATTAGAAATTTTTGTTTACATGTAATTGAGAAAAAAGGAATTCTGATCAAAGCAATTACAAAAAAAAAATCACAGCACAAACCCACATAGCTATTTCCTCTTCCTATGGAAGTGACTTAACCAAACCACCTCAACTTGCAATTCATTCCAAGTCAGAAAGAGAGAGAGAGAGAGAGAGAGAGAGAGAGAGAGAGAGAGAGAGAGAGAGAGAGAGAGAGAGAGAAATATATGACAGTGAGTTGTCAGTGAGGTCACAAGTGGATTCAACGGGACAAACTCACCTCCTCTAAGAGTCCTCCCAGAGGAACCTAATCCCACATTTCAATAATCATCATCATCATAACAACAGGTGACAGACAGCTTTAGGGTTTTCATAGCTTAAAACACTTAGAAGCATTTTCCATATCTTATCTTATTTGTTCATCACTACAAAAATATAATTCCTCTGGCCTAAAATTGGGTGACACTGCAGAAATATTACAGGGATTCAGAGGACATCTAATGGAGGAAAGGCCAAAAATATCCAAAAGGAGATTTTTAAAACACTGATCTGAGTCCATTTGGACATAGGCAGGGTGTCTTGGAAAAGCAGGGAGTTCAACAAGGGAATCCTGGAGTCTGAGCTCCTCAGTCTAGTCTCTTCCTTGGAGAGGCAACAACCCTTGTCTAAGGGGCAATTCAATTTACTAAAACAGATATCTGAGTGTCTCCTACAGTTCAAGGCACCTTGCTGGTGCCACTTACCAGTGAGGGATGTGGGGTCTTCCTTGGGCCAAGAAAGGTTTAAGTCCCCAAAATGAACTAGGACCCAACCCACCCAGCCCTTCTCCACATCTCTCCACATTCATAGCCCTTCAGAGCCCATAGCTCCCTGCTCAGAATTGCCCTTTCCATCCAGTATCTCAAACTCCTTCTCAAGCTCCCCTCTCCCCAGACTGACCCTTCCAATGACCCATTCCAAAGGGCCTTAATCTCAGTGAGCTGATCCATTTAGAAAGTTGTCTATATACCTGTCCTCTTTCCCCTTCTTCATCTCCAACAAGCTGCCAACTATTGATAAAGGTTTAATATATTACTTCTCTCAGGGGCATTTGCTTTCATTTCTGTTTTAATACTACTACTTTACATAGAGTAAAATATTTTCAGCCTACAAAAGCACTCTCCCATCCATTATCTCATTTAATCCTCCCAATACCCCTGTTTGGTAGTAGGGCCCATGTTATCTTCATCTTATAGTGAGATCAGAGAGGGAGATGACATGATCCTACGGTCTAAAGCGGTGGTTCTTAAAGAGTGCTCTGGGGACTCTTGAGGTCCCTAAGAACCTTTCAAGGGCTGAGAAGTCAAAACCATTTTCATAATAGTACTAAGATGTCATAAATTCTAATACAGTATAACCCACGTATACAAAAACTCTTTGAGGGGTCCTCAATTTTTAAGAATGTAAAGGGGTCTTCAGGCCAAAAAGCTTGAGAATCACTGAAAAGTTGTTGCTGTAGTACTTTCTTCATTCTTGAAGAGGAAAGTATACAACACCAGAGTCTGACAAACAAGATGCTCTCTAGGGACCTCTTCTACTCTTCATGCTATGATACAGTGTGCATGAGCCCTAAGGTCCTTTCTGCCCTCGAATTCTATGACTTTATGGCTTGCTTGAAGTCACAGAACTAAGAATTGGTTGAGCCCAGAACTAGACTCAGATCTTGATTTGGGTCAATGTTCATTCCCTAATGGAAAAAAGTCCTTTCTAGAGAACTCTTAGAAAACAAAAAGCCTTTGGTAAGGGTGAAATTTTAGTCACTATGAAGAGAAGGGGCTGATATGCAGAACCTCCTCCTCCTCCTCTACACTGCCTTGGTAGTCATGCATTTTTCTTGCAATCAGTGCTTAACTCTAACCATTCCTTTTGATCTAAAATACTTTCTTTGTTTTCAAAACACCTCCTTAAAACCCATAGATGTTCATTCACACAACTCCTATGATTCACAAGTGAGAAGCAAGCAGGTTTCTGCCATAACTAAACACTTGGATCACATCATTTGAAGAGCAGCTGCTCTTGCCTTTTAACCTTAAGGGCCTACTCTGGCCACAGAGCAGGGGAAAAATGGTAGAAGCAAGACCAGGAAAGAATTTCTAGGCCTCTCCTGCTCCTGAGGTCCAGGCATTTTGCTGAGGCACTGGAATGATTCAAAGGCTCTAGGATTTCCAGCTTAGATATAATTTCATCTAGCTCTCTCACTTCCCAGATGAGGAAACCAAGGCTTAGAATAAGGAAGTCATTTGCTCAAGGTCAAACAAAGTATACAGTGGAGCCAGGATTTAAAAGAAGGTCTTATGATTACATCATACTGTCTTCCTTTACATCATGAAGGAGCAGATGCACAGCAGATACGTTTGCAGAAACTCCTGGCTTTGGGGATGAACGAATCCCTAGCAGTATGTATGCATTCAGAATTGGAATTAAAGCTAAGAAATCTATAACATTGTTCTCTATTTCCCACGCTGATACCCCCACCAGCTACCCATCCACACAGTTTTTTCCATCCCTACTCATCAAGGCACCGCCTTCTTAATTTGACTTCTGGTTCTATTTTCTTCTATTCAACCCTCTTCTAGGGTCAGTCTTATGAGAAGGCCATCTCACCTCCCAAAAAAAATCCTTCCCAGGTGCCTATTAGGATACTTAAAATTCATCATTAGAGTTTCATTTCTTTAAGTTCTGAAGGCTTTTTGGTCCTTCAAAGTGGCCCACTAAAACACAAATGTGTCTGGGAAGGGTTAATACCTAAATTCCTATAAGTCAATTTTCAAAAGTGACAGTTAGTTAACGGAGTCAGCAGGGCCCACCCAGGACTGGGAGCTTGGAATAAAAGCAAGTTTCAAGGAAATGAGAGACAAAGAAAATTCTATTCAATTTACAAAACACAAACTCTGCCTTCATCCTAATTTTGCCCAGGGTGTCCAGTAGGCATTATCTATTACACGAGGTGCCCAGAGCATAGAACAGGTAACAAGCTTCTTGACACTAAAGAAGAAACATTACCATCTGCCTTGCAACTGAAACCTCCTCTATATGTTATCTCCTCCTGTTAGAAGGGGAGCTTCTTACAGGAGAAACTGTCTTTTTTTATTTGTATCTCTAACATTTAGCACAGTGCTTTGACCATAGTAGGCTTAATAACCAATATCAATTATTAAAATCTATGAATATTTATTAAAATCAGTACTCCAAATGCAAACTTATAATCTATTATTTTAATTACAATTTTTAATTTCATAAATTAAACATTCTAAATTATTGAGAACAATAATAAACTTAAATAGTTTTTCATCCAATCATGCAGTTACCTGTTTTTGGCTGTGATGTAGGATAAGATATTTTGATTGAAGAATTTCAGGATCAAGGGAATACAGTTGGCAAACACCAGGTGTTGAGACACATATTCAAACTATATCAAAAGAACCAAAGGCAGTTATGTGTGAATCTGGCTACTGGGCAGGCAGGAGGAGAACTGGGAGAAAACACACATAAAAATAAGGAGGGAATACATGAATCCTTCCTATTTTCCAGTGACATCGATGGCACCAAGTTTCCATTTCCCCATTTCCTATAATAGCACTCTATAATTCATAAAGTGCTTTCCTCACAATAACCCAGGGAGGTCAGTACTATAGGTATTACTATTCCCATTTTAGTGATGAGGAAAATAAAATTTAGAAAAGTAAATGACTTGCCCAAGGTCACACAACTAATAAGTGACAATACTCAAACCTAGGGCTTCCAACTCTGAATCTACCTCTGTAACACTACATAGACTACCTGTCTTCCCTTCAGGGCTGAAACATCTGGGGCAACTGAACTTTATACCCTATCCAGGAATTGTTCTCCTCTCTAGGCATCGATTTTCCAATCTGTGAAATGGGGCTATAGCTCTTCAACCCCTACTATACAGCAACTCTGTAGTAAGTGGACTCCATACAAAAAGTGAAAAGTGACTTGGTAGCTAGATAGATCTGATAGTGAGATGCTCGCAAAAAACATCAAATTTTTTTTAAAAAACCCAGATAACTATGAAGTGATGTGTTTTTTCTTATTCCAAAAGAAGTTAAGGAACCCCCTTAGGAAGAGCTATCCTTCATAGCACTAAATGTCTGGCCCACAATGGCCCTACTATTCCAGATTTAGCCAGGACAGGTGCACTCAGACCTCAACAAGTGCCAGCAACATAGAGGGAATGAAAGGGGGTACCCTAGGCAGGAGTTGCTGCTCAGTTACCAGTAACCAGAGGGACCAAAGGCACAATCCCAAACAGACAGAGTGAGCTGTGTATGCTCATGATCTCAGGAGGGAGCCAGGAATGGTAAAAGTGTCAGGGATTCATTTCACTCTTCAGAAACCAGATAGACTCAGTGCCCAAAGATCTGCTGAGGGCAGAGAGTCATGGAGGTGTAGATGTCATCAACAAATATTTACAAAACAACCAATATGCACCAGGCACTGTTGTAGTAAATATTAGGGATGTAAAAGACAAACAGGAAATGATATTGTAGCCCTCTTTGGGAGGATGGGGGGGGTTGGGGAGTAGTCATTCTTTATTGAATGTTAAAGCTGAAAGGGACCTTACTCATCACCAAACCCAACTTCCTTTTTCTACAGAGGAGGAAACTGAGGTTCAGAGAAGTCCAAAGTCGCACAGCTAGTTATTGACAGAGCCATGATTAGACTGCAGTTCTTGCACTAGCAAACACTATATTGAGCCACCCATCCTCCAAAATATAGAACATTTCTATAAATTACCTAATCCCAATTGTGCTATAAGTCAAAGTTCCAAGTCTTCCCTGAAATAAAGAAAAAGGTGGTGTCATTGGCAAGCCCCTCACCCCTGGTCTCATGCCAGGGACAGAGCAGGAGCAAGCTCAGTCATAGACTCCCAGAGTGGGGAGGGACCTCAAGGGCCATACCAATACCTGAAAACGAATTCTAGCCCAATAATACATGATCATCTACTCTCTGCCTGAAGACTTCCAGTGAAGTGAAATCCACTTTCTCCCTAGGTAGCCCATCCTACTTTTGGACATCCTTAAGTTTTAGAAGTTCTTTCTTCTTTACATTAGGCTAAAATCTGCTTCTCTGAAGCTTTCACCCACTCCTCCTAGCTTTGCCCTCTGCTCTAAGCAGACAAAGCCTAATTCTTCTTTCTTTCTTGTATTTATTTTGGAGGCAACAGGGTTAAGTGATTTGCCCAGGGCCACATGGCTAGTGTCACAGGTCAGATTTGAACTCAGGACCTCCTGACTCCAAGGCTAGTGCTCTATCCACTGTGCCACTTAGATGCCCCTAATTCTTTTTTCACATGATAGCCCTTTAAAATATCTGAAGACAGTTATCAAGTTCCCTTCTCCCTCCCCTCCTCCCTAATCCTCTCTTTTCCAGGCTAAACAACCCCAATTCCTTTCTCTGATCCTTGTCAGACATGTCCCACCATCCCCTCACCATCTTCTGGATGTTCTCCAGCTAGCTGGTCAATATCCTTCCTAAAATGTGGTGCCCAGAACTGTACATCCAGACTGGGACCAATGAGGGCAGAGTACAGCAGGGCAGTCACCTCCCTGGCCCTGAACAGGAGAAGATGCAGCTTAAACTTAGTGGGAAGAGAACAGATTACTATGATTCCTGCCAACAGCAACTCCTCCCCTCTCTAGAGGGAGGGTGGTGATCACAGCAGCTTAGGTCGTTTGGTCTCTGCTCTGCTGAGTTATGTATAGGAGGAGAGATGGGCATAGCTGTGTTGTTTCCCACCACATCTCTCTTCTGTGGAGACTTTTATCACTGGGCTTGGTGGCTCACTGGGCCTGGGAAGAAGAAGCTGCCAACCACTCTGAATTTGTCAAGATAAAAAGAGATGCCCTACTGGAGTCGCTGCCTACCCAGTTACCAATTCTTCCATACTCCCAACCATACAATAATTGTAGCTCACATGGACACAAGAAGGTTTCTGGTCATGTCACCCCACCTGGCTCCCCTCCAATTCAATAAAGGTCAGTGACTCCCCTATTACGTCTTCCAAGATCAAATATAAAATCCTGTTTGGCTTCTAAAGCCCTTCATAACCTGGCTCCTCCCTCCTTCCTTTCCAGTTTTCTTATACTTATACCCGTCCACTCTATAATTCAGCAACACCGGCTCCCTTGCTGTTCCTTACATAGACACCCCCAATTTGGTGTTTTCCCTGACTGTCCCCAATGCCAGGAAAGCTCTCCTGCCTCATGTCCATTTCATGCTTCCCTGGTCTCCTTCAGATCTCAGCTAAGATCCCCTAGCTGCAAGCAGCTCCCTCCTAAGCCTAGTGGGTTAGCTTCTATTTGTCCCATCTCCAGCTTGTTTATGCATCGCTGTTTGCATATTGGCTACCCCACTAGACTTTGAACTCCTTGAGAGCAGAGGTTATATTTGCCTTTCTTTGTAACCTCAGGGCTTAGCACAGGGCCTGGCACAGAGAAGGCATTTACCAAATAGCTTGTTGACTGACTGGCTGTCTAGAGGGTGTTTTCCTCTCAACCACCCCAGGAGGTAGGTCTTGCAAATATTATTATCCCTATCTCAAAGATGAAAAAGCTAAGGCTCAGGGGAGTTTGAGAGAAGCAGCTGGGGGAACAATGAGCCTGGAGTCAGGAAGACCTGAATTCAAATCTCACTTCAGACACTTCCTAGCTGTGTGACCCTGGGCTAGTCACTTGACCTCTGCCTCACTTTCTTCAACTGTAAAACAGAAATTAAGAACTACCTTGCAGTGTGGTTGTGAGGACCAGATGAGATATCTATAAAAAGTGCTTAGCTCTGTGTCTGGAACACAGTAGGTGTTTAATAAGTGCTTGTTTCCTTCCCGTTCATTCAGGGTAAAAGGAAAAGTCAGCCCCAGGATTCAAACTTAAGTTGTCTGATTCTAGAACAAGTGTTCTTTACACTTTGGGGCTGTTCAGTCATGTCAGTCGTGTCTGACTGCTCGTGACCCCATTTTAGGGTTCCTTTATACATGGATACCCCTTGTACACAAACACACCAAGCATCCTCATCCTCTGCATACTCTCCCTCAGAGTCACAACCACCCCTCCCCCTGCCATGAAAAGCAGCCTGACCTGGTAAATAGAACATTGGACTCAAAGTCAGAAGGATCTGGGTTTGAATCCTGCCTCAGACACTTAACTTCAGCACATGACCTTGGGCAAACCACTAATTCTTTCTTTGAGCCTCAGGTTTCTGGGCTATAAGATAAAGATAATAGCAAGGCCTGCCTCAGGGGGCTGTTGTGAGGCTCAAACATACAGATAATATATGTAAATTGCTTTGTAAACTTGAAAGTTCAATAAAATATCAGTTACCATGATCATTATTATTACTCTTCTGGCCAAAAACTGAAGGAGACTCAAGTTATCGCAGGACTGACCAACCCCCTGAATATTTGTTTGGAGTACATCAAGGGGTCAGGATACCCTGAGGGAAAAAGTATACTACATAGTCTAGGGTTGAGAAAGTCAAACCCAACACATACAACACACACCTCAAAAGCCCCATCTCCTCTGTGGTCTTAGATCTCTGCCCCTACCAGCCACGGTTTTGTTCAGGCCCAGGAAAGCTTGTTTTCTCTCTGTTCACACTGAGAGAAATCACTTCTAGTTGCCTTCTTTTCACTCACACAGCCACCAGCCCAGTTCAGGCCTCATCATCTCTTGCCTGGACAATTGCAATAGCTTATTTAAATAGTCTTCCTGCCTAAAGTCTCTCCCCACTCGAATCTATCCTTTTACTACTGAGTCACCAACGTATTATTCCTAAAGGGCAGGTCTGACTACATTCCACCCTCAATCAAGAAACTTTAATGATTCCTGATTACCTGTAGGATCAAATACAGACTTTTCTGGAATCTGCAGCTCCTTTACAACCTAGCCCCTAGCTTCCTTTTCAGGCTTTTGACACTCCCATCTACAAACATTACAATTCAACCATACTGGCCTGTGGGCTACTCCTCCCATGTGACTCACCATCCCCCATGCTTAGAATGCTCTTCCTATTAACCTCACAGAATTCCTGGTTTCTTTTAAGTTTCATCTCAAATGCACCGTCCTCCAGGAGGCTTCTGCCTATGTTTCCAGTTGCTATGGTCTTTTTCTTTAAGGACACCTTTCTTAACTCTGTATTTATCTTGTCTGAACAGATTTATGTATGTGTTACTTCCTCCCCTAAAATCTAAGTTCTCAAAGACATGGATTGTTTGGAGGTTTTTTTCTTGTTTTTGTAACTCTTAGCATCATATCTGGCACACAGCACTTAATAAACACTCTTTATGACTTGTTAATTGACTGATTAAGGGATGGATATTCTGGGTGAAGACGGGGAAGGAAAGCAACTCAGTTTGGCTGAATGTCTTTATGAAAATTCTTGTCATGTCATCTTTGAGGGGAAGAGTCTTATGAAATTGAAAATTGATATCCTACTTTATTTTATATTATTTTAATAAGACTTAGTCAATTTATTATGATCAATGAACTATGTATTAGTTGGTCCCCTCCTTATGTGAGTTTGGGCTCCCATAAACCTGTAACTTCAATTGCCTACTGTAGAATTTAAAAATTGATATTCTATGATTAGTGATTGAGAATTACATCTGGGGCAGCTATGTGGCGCAGTGGGTAAAGCACTGGCCCTGAAGTCAGGAGGACCTGAGTTCAAATCTGGCCTCAGACCAAACACTTGACACACGTACTAGCTGTGTGACCCTGGGCAAGTCACTTAACCCCAATTGCCTTTAAAAAAAAAGAGAGAATTATGTCTAATCAGAATCAATGTTTGTGAATTAAACTCAGACTTGATTGTATGATAGGCCCTATTAACAAAACTTGTACGAATTTAACTTCCCTATCCCTGTGGACTAAAGTCCAACCACAAAAATTCTAATCTGTGAGGTTTTGTTGACCATGGCGGGGAGGATGAGTTTTGTTTGTTTGTTTGTTTTTGGGGCTAGGCAATGGGGTTAAGTGACTTGTCCAGGATCACACAGCTAGTTAAGTGCCAAGTGTCTGAGGCTGGATTTGAAAACTCAGGTCTTCTTGACTCCAAGTACACGGCTCTATCCACTGTGCCACCTCGCTGCCCTGGAAGATGAGGTTTGCCTACCATGAGACTTTACAGAGAATGTTAGTTATGGGATGGTCCATCTGGTGAGGAACTGATAAAAGTAGCACTAACCAATCAAAGATAAAATATGTCTCTAGAGTTGCTGCACAAATGCTATAAAAGAGTTGCTCTGTCAGATGTGTTCTTGACTACTGAGGAGCCTTGGATCCAATTTATTGGTGTTTGCTAGCCCCATTAATAAATTGATCGTGTTGCAAACTTTGTGCCTCACTTTTGCTTTCTCGCAGCTTTTTATCGCTACAGGTCTGCCCACCTGGTAGATGTGGTTGAGTTTGAAGTGCTTCAGCAGCAGTAGCAGCACAGTGGAGATGCTCTTTACAATGATCTCTTTGTGTCTGTTCACATCGATGCCCAGCTTCATGCTCTGAAGCACAGTGATGCTGGAATGGAAGAGAAGAAAAGGGAAGAGGGCAAAGAGGAGAAAGCAGCATCGTGGACTTGGAGTCAGAAGACTGAGGTTTCAGTTCAGGCTCAGCCAATTACTAGCTGTGTAGCCTTCGGCACATCAGACAACCTCTTTGAGCCTCAGTTTCTTTATCTATAAAATGGGGATAATAATACTTGTACTGTTTATAACTCACAGGGTGATTGTGAGAAAAGTGCTTTGTAAACTGTAAAGCACTACAGAACCATGAGTGATTATTAAAATGAAAGCTCCCCCATGTAACAGTGGGACCTAGCTGGCAAGTCTTGAGGACTCAAGAATTTGAATCGAGGAAGACGTGGCACTCAGGAAAGGCCAACTCCATACTACAGAAAAATAAATAATAATAATCCACATTAACATAGTGCTTTTAGATTTGCAAGTACTTTCCTTACAATTGCCCTTTAGGGCTGAGTTAAGTAAGTATGTATTATTCCCATTTTACAGATGGGGAAACTGGTCCAGAGGTAAGGAAATTAGAATTGCCCACAAAGTAAGTGCTAAAGCCAGGTCTCTTAACTCCTAAGTCTAGCAAAAGGTTACAATTCAGACCCTGTGAAATAAAACACATTCTCTTGTCACCTCCATCCTTGGCTATTTGAGGAAATTGTGGGATACTCCATGCCCAGGCCCAAGAGCCGGAGTGAATGCTCAGTCTCCTCTCAATATACAGATATACGTGAAACAAGGTTCTATGTCCCTGCTCTCATGGCAAACAATGTATGCTGTCCCTTTTCCCCTGAGGATGACCTAGGTACTCTGGGACTCCCTCAAGGGCCCAGGTTACCTTTGGGGGGATATAAGATAGCTCAGATCTTTGTTTTAGTCTTTCTCCCTTGGGTAGTGATAATAATGGATTTGGGGACAAAGCAAAACAGTGGGGCTGTGTGCCAGGGATAGATTCCAGCAACGTGATACAGTGGAGTGTGGCACTGTGGGTCAGAAAGCCTGGGTTCTGATTTCAGTTCTGCTCTTACTACATAGGACTTTTAGCAACTTATTTAACCTCCTAGGGCCTCAGTTTCTTCTTCTACACTGAGGCTCTGACATCCCTTCGGCTCCAGTCACTAAGTCTCTGGCTCTTAGTTTTTTTCATATATTAAGGTCCCTTCCAGATCTAAATCTATGACCCCCCCCCCGCCTGTGTTAGAGAAGAGGATACTTGGATGGGGTCAGTCAAACCAACTGACGTTTGATAGAATTCACTCTGCTGTGTCTGTGAGCAAAGGGCCAGAGAAGTCTCAGACAGCAGTGCAGCAGCTGGGTTACAGTGGCCTGGTGTCCCTTTACATTTCCCTCAGTGCCATAGCAAGCTGTCAGTCCTGGAGGAAGTAATCAGGAGCCTGAGGGGAAGGTCTGTATTCCCCCAGTGGCTGTGTGCCGGCCCTCTGCTGTTCCAGGACTTTGACACAGAGTTCTTCAACAGAGGATGGTAGCGATGATGACAGGTGCAACAGATACAGCCCAGAACTGCTCAATCCCTTATCCCTAGAGAGAGGGCCTGTCAGCATATGTAGCCTGTACTTCAGTGCCGTCCAAAAGGAGGGCAGCACCTGGGAGGGGGACAACATCCTGGGAAGCCAGGCCAACCACCAGAGCCTGGGGTTCTGAACCAGAAACCAGCTTAGCAAAGTCATGTCATGTACTGGGGACGGCATCACAAGGCCAGATGAGCGGAAAGACCTCAGCCTTCTGTCCAAAGCAATGACCAACTGCGACTCCAAAAGTGTGAGGATGGAGCATCCCCTCCCAAAGGTGATGAGGGGGAGAGAGAGAGAGAATGAGCTACGCGTTCTCAGATATAGCCAATGTGTTGGTTGTTTTGCTGGACTATAATATATATTTGCTACAAAAGGAGGCTTCTATTTGGGAGTGAGGGGGAGAAAAAGAGTTAGTAGAAGTGATAGCTATGAGAAAAAAGAACATTAATAAAACATTTTAAGTGCTAGAAAAAAAAGTAGTTCAAAAAGAGCTATAAATAGAACCATCTTGTTACCATCTTGTTAAACTTTAGGTACAGGGTGTCCCACAAGTGCAAGTAAAACTTTTGGGACACCGTGTGTGTGTGTGTGCTTGCATCTTTTAAAAAACTTCACAAGGCAGAAGTTCACAGTTTCTCATTCAATCCTCTTTTCTGTTCTTCTTTCTATCTTGGAATATTTGTGTCTATTGATGACTGTTATGTACACAAGGAAAAAAAGTTGTTTTGTTAAAAGACCAGACAGGATCGGGGGCAGGGCTCTTTCCATTCATTCATCTGCTCTGTAAAGCATTCAAGGCAGGGGTCTGTAACTTTTTCTGTGTTGCGGACCCTTTGGGCAGTTTGCTTAAGCCTTATGGATCTCTTCTCAGAATACTGTTTTTAAAAGCATAAAATAAAATACATAAGATTGTAAAGGAAACTAATTATATTGAAATATAATTATCAAAAAACATTTTTTAAAGAACATTCACAGATCTAAGGTGGAGAATTCCTGGTGTAAGGGAAGATACAGCCATGACAACTCCTGCACTAATGGACCTTATAGCCTAACAAGGGGACAAGATACAAGTAAAGATAACTTTGATAGATGATAATTCTTAAGTGGACTACATTGAAGTGATCAATATTGGTCCCATTGAACAAAGCTCCTGGTGGGCTGGAATTTGCTGTTCATGTTTGTCTCTGTACCTCCAGTACTAGCATGATACCTGGCACCTAGAGGCAAATTCATACATATTTGTTGATTGATGATGAAACAGACTTCCATCCTCTTAATCTAGAGGCAGGAAGACAACTCTAGGTGTGAAACATTGCACAGATGTGGTTATTTTGTTAGTCTTCCTTAAGTGTTTTTCTTTCTTACAAGGTATTGATGGTGGAGGGCATAGCTTGGGAAATTAGTATAATTTTTTTTTTGGTGAGGCAATTGAGGTTAAATGACTTGCCCAGAGTCACACAGCTAGTGAGATTTTTTTTAAAAGTGTGTTTGAGAGTTATCAAACAAAGCATTAGATGAGATCTGAGAGGCAAGTTCATTTTCACGGAAGGGGACTGGGAGGTAGCAAGGTTTCCTGGAAAAACTGACATTTGACTAGGATCTTAAAGGACAGGTAGGAATTGAACAGGAAAAGAAGGGGAAGGAGGAGATTGCAAGCAGTAGGGCTAAGAACAAAGGCAGGAGAAGAAAGAGCGCTCTGGTTTGGATGGATTGTAGAATGGAGAAAGCTTGGGCAGCACTAGGTTCTGGGGAGCCTTGAATCCCAGGCCAGAGGGAACCAACTGAAGCTTTTTGGGCAGAGGAAGATGAAGACCAGAAAGAGCTATGCATAAAGAAAATTATTCTAGAAGTTGAGTCAAGCAAGGATTGGAGAGGGAGAAGAGAGTGGAGGATGGAAGATGCTATTGTGATGGTCCAGGTGATATTGTGGATCTCTACTAGGAGGGCGGTAATGGAAATAAAAAGGAAGGGACAGTGAAGGGGAAGGGATGTGGCCTAGTAAATGATTTTAGTGGAAGAATGAGGGGAAATAAAGAGACAAAGAAAACCCTAAAGAAAGCCCATTCATGGGCCTGGGATTGACCCTACAAGCTACCTTATGAGTCCTGTCTCATACTACTCCCCTTTCAAGTTAAGCTGTACCCTATTCCTGAGTCATCAAGTGTTTACTATGTGCCAGACATGGTGCTAAGCACTATGGATACAAAGAAAGCAAAAACACAGTCCCTGCCTCCAAGGAGTCTACATTCTAATAAGGAAAAATATGTAAATAACTAGGTATGTACAAGAGATATGCAGTTCCTTTCCTTTGTGCCTTTGCTTAAATTGTTTTTAAAACTAGGTATTCTCTCCATTCTAATCACTGCCATTGAAATCCTTACCATCTCCAAGACCCAGTTCAAAAACCACCTTCTCCATAAAACTTTCCCTGATATCTCCAGCCAGAAATAGGCTCTCTTCCTTTGGATTTTCATAATCTCCTTACCACACTGCAGCATAATGGGAAAAGTATAACGGATGTAGATTCAAGAGATCAGAGGCCCTTTCATTTTCTAGAAGAACAGCTGTGAGCAAGTTATGTAATCTCTCTGAGCCTCAGTTTCCCTATTTGTCAAGTGTTAAAAATATGTGGATTATTTCATCCAAGATTGTTGTAAGGAAATCATTCTGTAAAGGCCAACTGTTGCCATGGTACCATTGCTTCAAAACTCAGCTCAAGCTCCACCTTCTCCATGAAGTCTTTCCTGGTCCTCTTGCCCAATAAATTTTACCTTGTACCTACTTATTTATGTACAAAAGATTCCTCCTGATGGAATATAAGCTCACTGAGAATAAAGATCATTTCAGAATTTCAGCTTTGTATCCCTAGCACTTATTGGGTTCCTGGTGTGTAGTAAAACATGGCTTTTTTATTGTTGTAATCATATTCTAAATTGTATTATAGGTTATTTGTAACAACAGTGAGAGGGGTTATTAAATTTAGTTTATTTGTATCAAAACTATGAGAAGTTATTATAGTTATAGGTTATTTGTATCAACAGTGGGAGAGGTTATTGTTATATTTATAGGTTACTTGGATCAACAGTGCAAGAGGTTATTAGTATATTTAGGTTATTTGTATCAACACTATGAGAGATTAGTATATTTATAGGCTATTTGTATCAACAGTATGAGAGTTTATTGTTATATTTATAGGTTATTGGTATCAACAGTATGAGAGGTTATTGTTATATTTACAGGTTATTGGTATCAACAGTGAGAGGTTATTATATTTATAGGTTATTTTTATCAACAGCCCAAATCTGCCAAGAAAGCTAAGCCAATCTTATTATTTAGTCATTTTTCAGTTGTGTCCAACTCTTCATGACCTTTTGGGGTATGCTTGGCAAAGATACTGGAGTGGTTTGCCATTTCCTTCTCCAGTTCCTTTTACATATGAGGAAACCAAGGCAAACCGGGTTAAGTGATTTGCCCAGGGTCACAGAGCTAATAAACCTCTGAGGCCGGATTTGAACTCATGAAGATGAGTCTCCCTTACTCCACGCCTGACACTCTATCCACTGAGCCATTTCACTGTCTGGTAAGCCAATCTTAGACGCATACTAAGAGAGACACAGAGTTCAGGAAAGGAAGTGTTTGTCTCTCTGTACTCTGCCCTCATCAGACTACATGTAGAGTCTTACATTCTGTCGGAGGGACAACATCTTAGGAAGGACATTGGTGAGCTAGAATGCCCCGAGGATAGAATCCAGGACAGTGAAGGACCTTGAGTTCATGTCATATGAAGTCAACTGTAGGAATGAGGGTGCTCAGCCTAGAGAAGACGCAGAGGAACCATGGCGGCTACCTTCAAGTATCTGACTAACCATCTATCACATGGGAAAGGAATCACATTCATTCCACTTGGCAAAAGCAGGGGCAAATGATGGAACTTGTAGACAGGCAAATTTATGCTTGAGATGAGGGAAGACTTCCTGCCAATTAAAGCTGCCTAAAAGTAGAATGTGCTGCCTGAGGAGGGCGGCTTCTCCTTCACTTGAGGTCTTTGAGCAAATGCTGGATGAGTTGTTAGATATTGTCCTTGTTCAGTCATTTCAGTTGTGTCTTGACTCTTTGTGGCCCCATTTGGGGTTTTCTTGGCAAAGAGGTTAGAGTGGTTTGCCACTTCCTTCTCCAGCTCATTTTACATTTGAGCAAACTGAGGCAAATAGGGTTAACTGACTTGCCCAGGGTCACATAGCTAGTAAGTGTCTGAGGCCAGATTTGAACTCAGGTCCTTCCTGACTCTAGGCCTGGTGCTCTACCCACTGTGCCACCTAGCTGCCTCTCAGATAAGTAATAGTAGGAATGTTTTTTTCAGTTACTGGTTAGAGGAAATGGTTTCTAAGGCCCTTCCACCTCTGAAATTCTGTGATTCTGTGTTCCTCTCATTTATTCAGTGAGCTTCTAGAGGAAAGGCACCATATCTTAGTCATCTTTGTATGACTTTCTCTCCCCCCTTTCCTTCTTTCCCCTGTAAATTCATTATTGTAAGGAACTCCTTGTGTTGAAACTCCCTCCATGGAAGCAGATTAGTAACTCATTCGTAAGTTATAGTCTTGGTGAATTGCCTGGGCCCTAGGTAGGTAAAAATGATTTGCCCAGGATTGGATGGTCAGTGTATGTCAGAGGCAGGCCATGTACTCATGTCTTCCTGACTCCAAGGTCATTCTTCTATCCACTACACTACCACTGCTCCTTACTTTGCACACAGTAGGTATAATATGCGTTTGCTGTTGAAAAAAAAAACCAGCTTGTACCAAATACCAAACCCAAGGGGAACACTCACGGCATCTCCTCTGGCAAGACGTCTGCCAGGATGTTGATTGAATCTGTCTTGGCCTTGGAAGTTGGGGCTGCAGCCAAGAGAATCTTCAGCAGAGCAATCTGTGAATGGAGAAGACAAAGTTCCCCATTCCCCACCCCCAGAGATGCAGAGCTGGAAGAGACCCAAGGCAGCTCCCTGTCTCTCCATCTCAATCAGAGACATTGAGTAGTTTTTGGTTTCTTAATGGGATTTTGAATTTGGAGAGGGGTCCCTAGGAGTTCTCATGGCACAGGGGAGACAGCATGGACTGGGAGGCAGGAGACCTCAGTACAAGTCTTTGTCCCAACACTTAGCAGCAGTGTGACTGTAGGCCAAACATTTGATTTCTCTGAACGTCAGTTTCTGAGATAGTGGAAAAAGTTGAGAATACTTGGCAAGGCTTGAAGCACTAAAGAACTGTCACTTGTTTCTATTTTTATTCCTCTTCTGTCTTTAGACGAAGAGACAGAAGGGAACAGGCATTTATTAAGTGCCTAATGTGTGCCAGGCACCATGCTAAGCACTTTGTAGATGTTATCTTATGTGTTCTGAAGAATTTGTGTCTTTGGAAGGGGGAGAACTCCAAACCGAATAGACTTGTCTAAGGTAATAACTAAATTTGGAATTGGGTTAATCAATAATAATAACTAGCATTTACATAACACTTTAAGGTTTGCAAAAGTACTTTATACATATCAACTTTATACATGTCATCTCTTTTGATCCTCTAAACAACCTATGAATAGGTACTGGTATTATTCCCATTTTACAGGTGAGGAAACTGAGGCAGACAAAGGTTCAGTGACTTGCTGAGGGTCACACAGCTAGTTAGTGTCTCGGGCAGGTTTTTAACTCAGGTCTTCCTGTCTCCAAGATCCAGTGCTGTATCCACTGAGCCACCTAGCTACTTCCCAAGATTCACGTCCTTGTGTTTTAAGGATGTTCTTACCAAAATGAAGAAAAGGAGACTTGAGGGACACAGGGAAAATACTACAGAAATCAGATGGGTAAAAAAAAAATCTAGCGTTTCTATGTCATTTTCTATCTTTATTCATTTGTGTATCTTTATTCTACCATCTAGTTTCCATCTCTTTCTTCCTCTGAATTCCGACCAGCTGTGTCACCCTGCTCAAGAGTCCCAGCGTATCTAGGGTTCAAAAAGACCAGTAGCTTACTCAGTACACAGAAGCACTTCACAAAGGACAATGGAGTGCTTCCATGTGCTAAGTAAGCTACTGGTCTTTCTGAACTCCATTGGATAAATTTGGAAAGGCTTCTCAGTCAGAAGAACTGAGTCGGAGTTGCGCCAACTGTGCCCCCAACTAGCTGTAAGGGCTTGGACAAAGCCTTCTTGAGCCTCAGTTTCCTCATCTGTAAAATGACGAAGTTGAACTAAATGGTGCCTAAGGTTCCTACCAGCTCAGACAGTTTGGACTTATAGAGTCTGAAACATTAGAAGGGACTGGACTGCCTCAGCTGGACACAGTAACCACAGTTCTCTTCCTCCCAAAGGGGCCTAAGGGATTTATCCTTCTCCCCCCTCTTCACAAAGCCCTAGAGTAACAAATCCAGATTACAGGAGAGCACATAACTGTGAACAACTCATGACTCCATCACCAAAACCCCCCCCCCCCTGAAAACCGAACCACTCAACTGTTCAGGGAAGCCTTTGGAGCAGTGGTATCGTCCTGGAAGGTCCTAAATGAGAAGTCAGCCCTGAATGGTTCCTATGTCTCCTTCCCAAGACAGAGGAGTGAAGCCAGGGCCTGGGTGAGGGGGACACTGCTTAACCTACCATGTACTGTGGGAGATTATACAGCATGGCCTGGTAAAGGATTTCACACGGGGTCTGCTGCACCTTCTCTTCTCCCTGTGCCAGGAAGCAGAAAGATTATTCAGCATATCTAGACCACTCACTTTCTATTTGCCTGGGGCTTCTTCCTGGCTAATTTAGGAGAGGCAGTATGGCTTCATGCTAAAAGAGCACAGAAATGGGGTGGGGGGAAGCATGTAAGAAACGTGTGTTCAGATCACAGCTGTCTCTAATGAGCTGTGTTACCATAGGCCTCTTAAGCTCTCTGGGCCTCATTTTTCAAATCTGTAAAATGATGAGAATTTCTAGGATTCTTCATAGCACTAATGTTTCTTGGCTCTATTCCTCCCATCCCCCTGGCTGGTGGCCCAGAACTCTTCTCACTCTTTTCCAGGTGGGGAGAACAATGCAGCATCCCTACACAGAAGCCCAGGAGGATTGGAGCCAGGGACCCAGGAGTTAGTGTACCTAGGCTCCTGCCAAGGCTTCATTAGACACAGAAAGGGATGTGCCACGGGCCGGATATACCTGAGCTCAGCACAGAGCCCCAAGCAAGACCATGATACGCAGTGAAGAGGACAGAACCCCCAAAGCTATCTTACACAGTCAGAGCTAAAGGGAAGGGAAGAAGGGGAACAGGAAGAGAAAGAACTGGAAGAGGAAAAAAAAGAGGAGAAGGAGAGAATGGGAATGTATGAAAGGAAAGAGAGAGGAAGAAGAGACAGGGATATGTCCATAAGACAGCCTTTGGGGTAGGAGGAGAAAAGCAAGAAAGACGGCATAGAAAGGTGTCTTCCCCTTTGGCCAAAAGTATATAACTACCCTGACATTTTTGCTATTGGTGACAAATATTTGCTGCCCTATATGAAGCTTTCATTTTTATAGGATGAAGGATGAGAAATAGAGGAGAGATGAGAGGGAGAGGCCACAATGTGGCCAATCCTACACCTGTCCCTTCCCCCAAGGCAGGACTCCTAGGTCGCGTGGACACAGCTCTTGAGACTCAAACCAGGTTTATTCTCTGTACCGAGAGCAACAGAAGTGCTACCAGGGCCTTGGCAAATAAGGCTCTTGGAGAATGAGGACAAATCAGGGTGTCTTCTCTTTCCCCCACATTCTGGTTGTTCTTTCTTGATAGCACTGAGTCTGTACAGAATTCCAGGACCCCATCTGTGTCTTCCTTCTGCCTTCCCCACAACCACCAGGCCTCTTGTCTCACCAGGGACATGGGACACTTCTCCAGCTCTTCTTCATTCTTGATCTGAATGTCAGAGATGGAGATGTACTTGTGCTGAGGAGACAGGGAGAAATCACTTGGGGAGGAAGACAAAAAGAGTTTGCCATGATGCTGGAGAGCAAAGTTTACCCACTATGTGGGATGTACTCCAGAACACAAGTAAATACTGCTCAGCCAAAACACAGGAAAAATATAGAGCATTCACTTGTCCTAGATCCATGGGCTTGAGAGGCCTGCTTTCACAGTACGGGGTTGGCACACTCTTAATACACTGTTCACAACCAGGGCTGGCACAAAGCCAAGGTACTCATCTGTGTGCGCTCCCAAGCAATGGCCAACCACAGCCTGGCCTTACACAGAAGATATGATCAGAGATCTAGAGTTGGAAAGGACCTGTCAAGGGTCATCAAATCCAATGCATTTATAGATGAGGAAACTGAGGACTTGTAAGGAACTTGCCCAAGGCTGCCCAGATAGTAATTACCTGGCAACTCAGGTTTTCCTTCCAGTTACTGAACTGATTTAAAGAGATGGAGATATAAAGGAAGGAAAGGAAGGAGAAGAAATAAAGGAGAAGGGAAAGGAGAAAGAAGGGAAAAAAGGAAAATTTTCATCATGTGGATTGTTCTCAAAAGGACAATGTTAATAGATCCTAGAGGGAGCCCTGATCTCATCTTCTTGGGCAAATGGTCAGAGTGAAATGTAAGAATTCTTAGACACCCCTGATGAACAAGTCAATTTCCCCACCCTGGTACACTAATCTTGGTTACCTGCTTCAAGGTCTTCACACTTTCATGGATGGGCCTTGGCAATCCCACCAAGGTGTCTGTATCCCTGCAAGAGGCAAAAATGCCCAAGACACCCAGATTAAAGGTCTCACCCAGAATCACAAAGAAAAATCCAGCTTCCTGCCCAGCTCCCTTCCCATGGGCCACAGGCCCTTCCTTCCTTCTCTCATCATCTCAGACAACTCCCATAGCTTCCAAAGACCCTATTGTGGCCAAAGGAAACAAAAGACATTGAGGGGACAGGTAAATGTGAGAGATGTTTTGGGGGGAGGGGAAGAAGACAGGCTTAGGATCTGGTTAGAAATGTCAACTCTATCTCATCATTTCCATTTGAAAAAGGTCCATATGACTCAGGTCCATTGTCTTCTTTGGGAGCCTCAGAAGCAAGGACCTTCTAGTAGAATACAGGGACCTATCTTTGGAATTACAGTGGTACAGGGTAAGAAATCTGATCCGTTTACCAGGTGGAATCTGGCAGCACCAGGGATCATAAGAGGAGGTACAGTAGGTAGAAACACTGGATTTGGAATCAGAAGAACGGATTCCAAGTCCCAGCTCTGACACTTAGTAATTGTGTAACTGTGGGCTAGTAATAATAATATTTATTTAGCACTTACTAAGTGTCAGGCACTGTGCTAAGCACTTCATAAGTATTATCTCATTTGATCCTCACAACAACCCTATGAGATGGGTGCTGTTAATGTCTTGCACAAGACCACATAGCTAGTAAATATCTGGGGTTGGATTTGAACTCAGATCTTCCTGACTCCAGCTCTCTATCTATTGCACCACCTGGCTGCCTCGCCAAGTATCTTAAGCTTCCAAAAGAATGCAAACTCCCTGAGAGGAGGGTCAATGTCATTATTATCTCACATAGTGCCTGGGCACATAGTACGCTCTTTGTCAATGCTTCCTGTATTGTGTTGGTTTCTACCTCTGTAAAATGGAGATAATGACATTTGTACCCTCCTCAGATTGTCATGAGCAAAGTGCTTCGCAAGCCTTAAGAAGCTTCATCCATACCCTTTCCCTCCCTCTTACAGATCTGGGGGGCCAGAGGTATAGAACATTGCATATAATGTTGGATACGTATTATAATGTTCCATAGAGTGCTGGGCCTAGAGTCAGGAGGAGAAGACCCAGGTTCAAATCTAGCCTCAGACACTTTGTAGCTATGTTCTATAACAGTATATAGATTCTTTCCATGTTAGAAATTCTGTTTTGCTGAATTTTTATTCCTTTTCCTTTTTTTAAAAATTCTTTTTTATAAGAGATGGTTCTTTAAGAGGAGGGAGGGAAGGAACATAAGAGGGAATATCTAGGTAATGTACCAACAAAAGACATCAACAAAAATCTCTTTTAAAAGACTATAAAGACTTCAATTATTATGACCATAGGATGATGCAACTTGAAGATGGGGCCAGGAAGGCCCTTCTAGAGAGGCTGTGGGATTTGTCCAGGGTCATAACTAGTCAGTGGCAGAGCTTCCAGAGTTCAGAAACGTAAACAGAAGTTCACCCTGAGATATTACTATGAAAGGAACTCTTTAAATGATGCTCATCTGCTCTGAAAAGGAAGGAGATGGGGTGGGGGAAGGTAGGGGGTAGGAAGGAGGTCCCCAAGTCCAGCCTTTTTTCAGTATAGTACAGAGGAACAGAGTTATGAAGTCCTGGGTTCAAGGCCTAGCTGGTTGACCTCACTCAGCCAGGCACCCAAACTTTCCTGGGCCTCAGTTTCTCTCCTTGCAAAATGAGAAGGGTCAGACAGGGCTTTTCCAATTCTTATGTCCTATAAGTCCTTGACTGTCAGGCAGCACTTTCTAATTTCCTCTGTTCTTTATGTCAAGAACTCGCCACACATTCTCACATACCCCATCGTCTCTCTCCACCTGTCCTCCCACCTCCAGATTGCAAAGTCACTTACTGCCCCAGGGTGAAGCCGATGAATTTGTTCCTACTAATCTCCAAGAAGTGCTCAATGTCCTTCTGTCTGAGGGGACAGCAAAGAAATCAGAGAGATGGATAGAAAAGTCATTCAACCGGTCAACAAGCATTTATTCATTAACTTACTATGTACCAGGCACATTTCAAAAAAACATATTGCAAAAGAAAGTCTTCAAGGGCTTACATGCCGAGGTCCTGAGATGTGGGGAAAGGAGGGAATGAGGGGTTGGAGGTAGCTATTAGAACCCAGAATTTCTGGCTCCCCATTGAGCTTGCTTTGTTTGAATTTTTCCCATTTCTGACCAAACATAACTGACCTTTGGAGTTCAGGGTAGACCTTCTGGAAAAGTCCCACACTCAGCCAATAAACATTTATTGAGTGCTTACTGTGTGCAAGGCAGAGAGACTTTAAGGGCCTAGGTCTTCAGGCCCTGAAATGTGGGGAAGAGAGTGGGAGTAGAGACGAGAGAAAGAAGCAGGCAATAGCTCCAGAAAACTTAGAACCCAGAATTCCTATCTCTCAGTCAAGCTTACTTTGTCTTAGAGCTTTCTCTCCAATGGAGACATATCTCATACATGCTTTCTGTTATTTTGCTGTGGGAACTTTTCCCATTTCTGTGGAAGGGATAGAGTGCTGGGCCTAGAGTTATGAGGAGAAGACCCAAGTTCAAATCTAGCCTCAGACACTTTGTAACTATGTGACCCTGGGCATTTAACCTTTGTCTATCTCAGTTTCCTCAATTGTAACATGGAGATAATAGTACCTACCTCGTGGGGTTGTTGTGAGGATCAAATAGGATGGCATTTGTAAAATGTTGAGCAGTGTGTCTGGCACATCAGCACTATGTAAATGCTTATTCCCCTCCTCTTCCTGGCCAAACATACCTGACCTTGGGGGCCCATGGTAAACCCTTAGGGAAAGTCACACGCTCTGTGGTGGGAGTCTGGGAGGGTCGAGGTGGGACCAGTGGTCCCCGCTCCAGCAGGTCAAGCTCTCCATCCAGGGTGTTCTCTCCTTCTCCTGCCTCCTCCTCCTCCTCTGGGGGAGGCTCCTCATTCTTGAAGAGATCACGTTCATTGTAGATGTCCAGGCTGTCCTGCTTGGTGAGGAGCTGCTGGGCCAAGGCAGAGGTGAAAGCGGTTCAGAAAGAACAGCCCTTATCACACAGTTGTTCCCCTCCCTTAAGACCCTACTACAAGGAGGAGAGGGGGTGGGGGAAAAGGACTAGGTCCATGCCAGCTCTTCCAAAACGCCTCTTCTTTTCCAAGGATCCCATTTCCCATTCCCTACCCCCTTAGCTCTGTCCCAGTACAGGAAACTCCCAACTGGTCCCACTAACAAAAGAGGGTCAATCTACACACCCCATGACAGTGGAAGGTCCAAAAGTTATTTCTAGTTAGCTTTGACCATGCCCTGCATTGCTTTTTTTGGGGGACTCAGGGAGGGGGGGTAAGGCATGTGGAGTAAAAGACATTCCTTCCTAATGTGAGTATTCAAATTATTATCCATTCCAGCCAGTTAGCTGAGTGGGTTTCAATCTGCAAAGGGGCTTCAAGTTATACATGGGTCAGTTCTATGGCCTGATCCACAGTCTTTATGTATCCTTAACCCTGAGCCAGCAATCTATGCTCCTAGGCCCTTTTGGGCCTTCTGCTATTTTATTGATAAATGTTGGAACTTTTTCCATTCTTGGACAAATGTAGCTGGTCTCAGGGGCCCAGGGTAGATCCCTGGGGAGACAAACACACACCTAAGAGGGAGCCTAGGTTAGCAAAGGTAAGAGTAGGGGGCACCACTCCGGGTGCTCCAGGGCCCTTAAAAACTTTTTCCTGGTTTGCTTTGCAAAGCCCTATCTAGCCACTGTGGGGCCCATGGAAGCTCAGGACTCCTGGAGGTGGGACAGCAAAAGCCCAAGGAAGGTTTGTGTTCAGCTAGAGTCTGGCTGGACATTCCTTGTGGGGTCTGGACTCCATAACTAACCCCAAGGGAGGCGGCACAGAGCAAGTCAAAACATTAGAGCAACTGTTTGCCCCAACAGAACATTGAGAACTCTTCAGAGGAGATGGCTCCAGTCCCTGGGACTTCCACAGAGGAGGCCAGGCTGGGTCAAGGAGGATCATGCTATCCTCTCCTCTTTCTCTGCTGAAGATGGGGATTTGGCTTCAGGTGGGATTTCCAGGTTTGGTCTTTGTTCACCTGTGCAAAGACAGCCTCACTCAGAGACAGTCATTCACCTTCCGCCCCCGGCGGCCTCGTTGTTTGGAGGACTGTGGTGCCATCTGTGACTCCCCCAGGTCCAGGGTGTAAGAGGGGGGTGAGGCGGCCCTCATGCTGCGGACCACCTGGATGCTGTCCTCTGCCAGCGGGGGCAAGCTAAATTCTGCCCTCTTCTGTATCTTCAAGGCCTGTAGGGTCTCAAAACCACCCAGGGTAAACTGAGGGGGAGAGAGAGCAAGAAAGAAGGGCAGTGGAATATAAGAAAGACAACTTCAGCCTCTTTAGTCAACAACCCAACAAGAACTAGGAAGAAGAGAAAGAAGCATATTACCAGGGTGTTAACCTTGGGGTTTAAGATGCTAATTAATAATTTAAAATTATAATTATTTATAAATGTTTTATTGAAAGATCAACATTGAACATCAATACAGACAACTAAACTTACTTGGTAACTACATTTAAGTTAATAAATTATATTTATATGGCTAGGACTCCTTGGATAAGTCCCTTAAACTCCCTGAGTCTCAGTTTCCTTATTCATAAAATGGGGATGATAATATTTGCAGTTTCTTTCAAACTGATGTGAGAAAAAGGCTTTGTAAAAGCATCATAGAAATATTAGTTACTAATTATTTTTACTATAGCACTTTATGTACGTTAAGTAATTCCATCCTAACAATTTTTGCTGTTCAGTCATTTCAATGATGTCCAACTCTTCATGAACCAATTTGGGATTTTTCTTGGCAAAGACACTGGAGTAGTTTGCCATTTACTTCTCCAGCTCATTTGACAGATGAGGAAACAGAGACAAACAGGGTTAAGTGATTTGCCTAAGATCACACAACTAGTAAGTGTCTGAGGCTGGATTTGAACTCAGGAAGAGAAGTCTTTCTGACTCCCAACTCTAACTACTTCACCAACTAGCTGCCCCATCCTTACAACAGCCCTGTGAAATAGCTGGTACAAAAATTATTATCTCATTTTATAGATGAAGAAACTGTGCCCAAGATCACACAGCTAAGTGAGACAGATTAATATATCACTATTTTACTGTCTCAGAGATCATAACAGCTTCAGGGGAAGGTCGCATACACCAGCCAGAATGGGGGCTCCTGAGACCCCACAAAATAATATGATAAAAGTCTGGTTCTCTCCTTCAAGGATCAGAATCCAGGTATCCTAAACCAAGCCAGAAAGGCTTTTAGTGGGATTATGGGGGATGGGTCTCCCTGGATGATAGGAACAGCCATTGATAAATCTGCTTCCTCATACAGCCAGGTAGGGAAAATATGTAGTACTAAAGGTAGATCTAGAATGAGAAAAGCCAGGCTGAATTAATAATAACAATACTAATAACGGACATTTACATAGTTCTTTAAGCTTTGCAAAATGCTTTTCTACATTGTCTAATTTGATTATCACAACAGTTCAAGAAACTGAACCCTAAAGGTATATTATTCCTGCTTTAATGTAATACAATACAATCTTTTGAAATAGGTGCTGTTATCATGGGGGCAGCTAGGCGGCACAGTGGATAGAGTGCAGGGCCTGGAGTCAGGAAGACTCCTCTTCCTCAGTTCAAATCTGGCCTCAGACACTTACTAGCTGTGTGACCCTGGGCAAGTCCCTTAACTCTGTTTGCCTCAGTTTCTTCATCTGTAAAATGAGTGATAGGAGGCAATGGCAAACCACTCCAGTAACTATGCCCCAAAAAAACCCAAATGGGCTTTTCAGTACATGACTGAACAAGTTGTTATCATCCCCATCTTACAGATGAGAAAACTAAGGCTTAGAGAGGTCACATGTCTTACCCATGATTAGACAGTCAGGAAGTAGGAGTCTGTCTTTCCTGACTCCAACGTCAAAATCTATTTCACTGTCATGGTACCTATAGCATGCTCATTGATGTTGCCTTATGATTGTGAGAACAGGGACCATGCATTCTTTTCCATCCCTTCCCAGTGCCTATGACATCCATAGTATAGTGGATCCAGTCTGATCTTGAAGTCAGGAAGACCTCCATTTGTAATCCTGCCTCTGCTCCATATTAACTATGGGACCCTGGGCAAATCACTTAATCTCACCAAGCCTCAGTTACATCATCTGTAAAATGGGGATGACAATAGCATCTACTTCAAAAGACTGCATTATTACCTCTATTCTGCAGATAAGGAAACTGAGGCTAAGAGACATTTAGTCACACATCTATTAAGTATCAGAGGCAAGATTTGAACCTAGACCTGCCCTGTCTGATGCTGTTTCCACTAGAGGGAGAGAAATTGGACTTCATTGGTATACAGAACTCCCAAGTCAACACAGCAGTTTGTTTTGCTTGACTATGCATGTTTGTTACAAGGATTTTTTCTTTTTCAATTAGAGGAGGGGATGGAAGGGAGAGAAGGTGAATTTTTGCTAATTGAAAAAAAAGTTAATTTAATTTTTCTTTCTTTCTTTCTTTCTTTCTTTCTTTTCTTTCTTTCTTTCTTTCTTTCTTTCTTTCTGGCTAGGCAATGGAGTTAAGTGACTTGCCCAGGGTCACACAGTTATTAAGTGTCATGTGTCTGAGGCCAGATTTGAATTCAGGTCCTCCTGAATCTAGGGCCAGTGCTCTATCCACTGTGCCACCTAGCTGCCCCAATTTAATTTTTTTAAAATACAGCTCCAGCCTTGAAGTCACGAGGACCTGAGTTGAAATTTGGTCTCAGACACATAACATACAACACGTACTAGCTGTGTGACCCTGGGCAAGTCGCTTAACCCCAATTGCCTAGCAAAAAGAAAAAAAAGAAGCATACTGGAAGTTCAAAGAGGTTTAGTGACCAGCTCAAGATCACATAATATGAATCAGCAGTGAGGCCAGGACTAGATCCCAGGCATGCTCAATTGCTAGGACCCCTCCCTCAATTTTTAAAAGCCATCACATTAATTCATTTCTAAACCTTCCCTTTCTCCTTTCCTCTACCCGCCTCTCCATGCTATATAAAGAATTCCCCTGACCACAACACATGAAAGTATCTCTTCCTCTACTTCTCATCCTTAAAAAAGAGACAGTATTGAGTAGCAGAAAAAACCCTGGACTGAAGACTGAGGCAGTAAATGGACCCAAGGCCTGCCACTAACTGGCTGTATTACTGTGGGAAACCTCTGTGAACCTCAGTTTCATTTGAAAAATGAGCAGCTTGAACTAAATTCTCTAAACCGCTGTACGTTATGAGAGACCCCTCCGACCTATCCTGGGACAATTCTCTCCTTTGAGCCAGTGGCCCCTCCCCTTCCCACACAAGCTTGGGAAGCCTAGAGGAAAAGACAAGGGGAGTCAGGGAGTTGATAGAATTGACCGCTCTGTCACTCCTGTCTGATGTTGAGGCAGAAAGGGGATAGGGTGGGCTGGACGACTCACCAGGACCACCTTCCAGAGCAGAAGCAGGACCTTCTTCATGGGGAAGTGAGGGGCGAGGCCGCTGCAGAATTTGGTGATCATGGAGAAAAGCAGGAGAACAAAGGGCTCCTCACTATGTACCGGGAAGCCTGGTGAGAAGAGGGTATTGAGAGGCACAGCCTTTGGGGGGACCCTCCCCCTGGCAACCCTGCCTCTTTACTAATACACACACACACACACACACACACACACACACCCAGGAAGGGGGCTTACTACTGAAATGCATGGATGTAGCTGTTTAGTGTGGAAATGGCTGCGATTCAGAGTACGTTCACCAACGAGTGAATACAGATAAGTTGGTAGCGATTAGCGCTTTCCTTCTAAAAAACCTCAATGGAATTTCACAGAACCTACCTCGTTTGTGCCCCCACTGACTGTCTCAAAGATCTCAAAGATCATAAACCATCCCCATTACTATCCCTTTAGGTATGGAAGGGCTAGGGTTACTATCCCTACTTTACAGTTGAGGAAACCGAGGCACAGAAAGGTTAAACAACTTGCTCAAGATGAAACAGCAAATAAGTCATAGGAAGATAGATTTAGAGTTGGAAGGGACCTCTGAAGTCATCTAGTCTCATTTTACAGTTGAGGAAACTGAGGCCCAGAGAGGTTAGGGGACTAGGCCAAGGTCACACAGGTGATGACAGAGCCAGGATTGGAACACCAAATTCAGCACCCTCTATGGCAGCCAGGTCTGCTGACAAGTAACATCACACCATGGCTATGCCATGGCAAGAGGAGTCCTTAGTCTCGGGCAGTTTGGAGCCTCAGACAGCACGGCCATCAGCTTCTCCCTCCACAAGCCAAGGCCAATGCTACATCCTGCTTCCTGCTCCCAAAGTCACACTCCTCCTCACTCAGCTCCGTTTGGAAGGTTTCCCGGACTGCCCTCCAGCCGCTAGGGTCTGTGTCCCATTCCAGGCGAATGTTTTCCACCATCAGGTACATGACACTGAGCAGCACTCTGTGAGGTGGAGAGGAGATAGGTTGGAGGACCGTGGCATTGTGGCTTTGGGGAATGGGATGCAAACTGGCTGGCCCAAAGGAGTTAAGTCTATGTGTCCCACAGGTGCGGGTCTCAGGGACTTTCTTCCATATCTAAGGACTGGGGGTGCTGAACCCTCACCTAAGGAGTAGTGATTCCACCCCACAGTCAGAGGATGATACCCCAGTGGCCTGGAGGTAGGGGAGACGATGGGCAAAATAGTGGGAAGGTAGTAAGCCACCGCTGCTGACTTCCCCTCTTGCCCAGCCTGGGGGTCTCCCTCTCCATTGACCTCATCCATCTGAGTTATCACTAGGCCCTAGAACGTTCACCTTTTCCCTCGAGTTCCCTGATGGCCCAAGAGCTTACCTAGCTTGCAATGAGTCTAGAACCCAAGAGTTCTGTCTCCTGGTTCAACCCTCTCCCATTTAGCTCCCAAGCTGATAACACCCTCTAGTATGGAACTTCAGGGGAGGCCCTGAGGACCACATACCCATAATCCCTGTTCACCTGAGTTCTGTGCTGTCTGCAAGGGAGATGGCTGGTTTCCGAAGGGCACTGCTACAGGCCTGAGTGTTGCTGCCATGGGGAGAATGGAGACAGTACAAGAACTCAGGAGAGACCTATTCACTGGTCATGTCTGCGTTTTTCTCTCTCTGTCTCTCTCACACACACACACTCACACACACACACACACACACACACACAGATACATACAAAGTAAACAGAAGATGAAGAGGCTTGTTCAGAGTAAAGAAAACCCATAGCTGGCAAGGGAAGATAAAATAATAATAATCATAACCATAATTCATCTTTTTCTAGCACATTAAGGTTTCAGGGTCCTTTACGTACATTATCTCATTTGATCTCATTGATAGAAGAGACTATGGATTGTGGCTCTATCCATCTTATGTCTCCCATGGTACCCAGTACAGTATTGGGCCTAGATCAGGGTTCTTAACCCCTTTTGTGTCATGGAAACCTTTGGAGTCTGGTCATACTACTAATGGACTCCTCCTCAGAATAATGATTTTAAATACAAAAAGTAAAATACAAAGAATCACAAAGAAAATAAAATATTAGTGAAAATGAAGACGTATTTTTCTTCCCCATCCAAGTTTACGGACACACTCCACCCCTGAAGTCTACCCATAGACTCTGTGGGTCTCAGGTTAAGAACTCCCACTATAAGCTGTCAGCCATGGCTAAGGGCAGAACAGAACCCCAGGGGTTAGCTGCTGTATGTTTTGGAGAGTACAGGTAGAAAAGCACCAGGGTGCGCTTTGGGGACTACCCTGTTCCCCTCCCCCCTGTGCCCAAAGCAGAGGAGCCTGGGCCTAGGAACAGCTTTCCAGAGGCCTCTCACTCAGTCTCCATGCGCAGCAGCTCCAGGAAGGCAGTGAAAGTTCCCATTTGGTAGAGCAGAAAGCTGTTATATCGTGACCAGTGCAGGACATCAGCCTCTGTGTCACATTCACCAAAGGTTCCTGAAAGAAGGAAAAGTAGGATGTGTGAGAATTAATTCAGTGAGGACTCCTACTCTATTCCTATCAGTATCAATTAATGTGATATGATTCTATAAGGGTAGCAATTATAAGTTCTGTATATTTGGCCCCAGAACTGTGAGCTGCAGATTATAAGTTCGTTTGCTTAATCAAAGGAAGCTAACTAGAGGCCCTCCCACCTTGTTTTTCCTTATCATGGTGACCAAGCCCCGTGTGCTGGAGGTGACTCAGTTACATGGAAAGTCCTCCAATTTATTTTTGTATCTCCAGACTTGCACAGCACCAGCAGGTGACCATCTTACGACCACTTAGTCAGTGGAGATGCCCCATGCTTCCCCCAATCTGTGCCCCTCCTGATAATAGGTAATTTTTGGCCCTTAAGAGCAAGGTCCATCAACCAATGAGGTTCTGTACTTTACCATGCCTCTTTTGCATGTTTGGGTATCAAACTATAAATACAAGGTCCAGGAAGAAGGGGGCATCTCAGATTAGAAGGAAGATCTGAGGTCCACTTCATTAAAGGGAACCATGGACTCCTTAATAAGGTGCTATGGGCTCAGAGCTTTGCCTCAGTCTCTTTTACTGTAGGTTGGTCTCCATCCCATTAATGGCACCCCAAGATGGGATGGTAATGTGTGGATCTCAACCTCTTTAGGTTGGCCCCAGCAAGGGACCCAAAAAGGAAGTGCACCCTGGGTCGAATTTTCACTGATGGCTCCCCCACAGACACCAGCCCTGGGAGGTTGGACTCCCCTCAATGTCTGTACCTAAATTCTCTGAGCCTAAGGTAAATCTCCTCAAGATTGGTGAGTCTGCCTTTCTTTAAGAAGGGTCCCCAATTGGGCTAAGAGGGACTGTTTGAATTTATGACTAATCTGTCTAAATTTATAAGCTCCAGAGCATTCAAATTCTATTTTTATAAAAACTATGTGGCTATAATTTTAACTTTTTATACACAGGCTACTGGTTTGGTTTTTTTTTTCTCCCAAGAAAAGAGTTTTCTTACTTTCCTTTTGCTAAGACCAGGGAGATTCAGCAGTGGAATTGCTAGGTTCTCATTTTCAGCCAGCTAATCTTAAAACTTCCTGTTAGCAGGCTTAAAATAGATTTTGTGCCTTTAAGTTCTTTTAACAAGGAGTAATTAAATCATTTTTGTCATCAGTAGAGAAATCTCTTAAATTGGTTGAGGCGGAACTTTCAGTGGTTCATAGCAGGGTGAGGAACCAAACTTGAGTACCCTGTGATCAGATCCTGGATGGGGAGGGTTTGGGGAAGTGATTCCCCACTCTGGTACTCTGATAACACCTTGAGGGAGCAATAATTCAGGCTAGACCCAATAGCCTTAGAAATTCCCAACCTCAACAGTAAACTGTCAAGGCTGTGACCATCCTGGAAACGATACCACCTTCTTCTCACCTGAGAAGAAGGCTCATTTTGGTTTTACAGATAAGAGGAAAGGAAAAGGTTCTTTCACTTATATGTGCTTAGGATTAAGTCAGTTATTGACCATCAGAGTTAAATTTTCATAAGTTTTAAAGGAAAGTGGGTATAAATTTTGCTGAATATTCACCTAAAAAGGACCTGTGGGGCTTAATTGACTGATCTTAGGACCCTAGAGGTTAAGCCCAGAAATTAAGTATTGGAAAATTTGCCAAAACAAATCCCTGAATATTACAATGGTAGCTGTAGGAAAGATGCCCATAGAAGTGGAAGTCAGGTAGGCATAAGATTACCTCCCTGGATTTATAATCAAAAGCTGGGGGGAGGGGGGAGTCATCTCTAGCACCTTCAGTGGGGGAACTTCTCAGATGGAATAAGCCAAAAGGCAGGTACCCTGGGAATCTAGTCCAATTCTTTCAGGGGAAGTTCCTCCAAAGAGTGCCACTCCTGGTCGAGGACACTCACAAGAGAGATGGGGATCAGGCAATAAGAAGAGAAATGCATCCCACAGGATCCTAATTGGAACAAGGGTGGACTCCCTGTCAGAGAATGACTAAAGAAAGAACTATTATTAAGGTAGTAAGTATTATGTGTCTGAGGCCAGATTTGAACTAAGGTCCTCCTCAATCCAGGGCCAGTGCTCTATCCACTACACCACCTAGCTGCCCCCCAGAAAGAACTATTAAGCTGTGTAAAGTTTGGTTTGAGACTTTAAAAAAGCATGACTTTTGAAATCTCTGAATGCCTTGGTTCTCAGTATAATCATTCTTTTTGAATTTATTTCTTATTAAAATATGTAGTTTTAAGACCTTTTTTTTGACAGTATTACATAATTTTTTTTTAGAGTGGGTAGATGGGAGTGTCGCTTGTATGCTATTGTACAGCTGATGGGTGTTTTGTCTATTCTTTATTATCCTAGGAGTTTCATGCTACATATAACCAACCTATTGCCTATGAGAAACATGTCAGAGAATGTATTTACAGCCATTGTTACAATTTTATAATGTATTTTTCTATCTTGTTTTATATGTATGTGATATAACATTAAAAAGAATTTTTTTCCTGATTGAGAAAAGGATGCAAAATGCAAAACCCATAATTCTGATAAGTGAAAATTGTCAATTATTTTTCAGTACTTTATTACATTGAGAGTGTTGTCTTTCTTGGGCTTTTAGTTAGCTACTGAATGAATACATTAGACACATTTAGGTTTTAGTTGGGATTTTACATAGCTTGCATTTTAATTCTTTGGCTCTTTGCTGTTTCTATTAACCCATAGCATTATTTTAATAAATGTTATAATACCAACCTACTTTTTAAAAAAAGTGTGAGAATACAGGGGACTAGGGGCAGCTAGGTGGCACAGTGGATAGAGCACCGGCCCTTAAGTCAGAAGGACCTGAGTTCAAATCCAGTCTCAGACACATGACACTTACTAGCTGTGTGACCCTGGGCAAGTCACTTAACCCCAACTGCCTAAAAAAAAAGAAAAGAAAAGAAAGGAGAATACAGGGGACTATTTTGGTCAAAGTATGGAACTTTTGATTACTTAGAAAGTTACATAAACCCACATAAATCACCAGCATTTCTATATATTACTAACAAAGCCCAACAGCAAGAGATAGAAAGAGAAATTCCACTTAAAATTACTGTACACATTATAAAATATTTAGGAGTCTACCTGCCAAAAAAAACCCCAGAAACTTTATGAACACAATTGCAAAACACTTTTCACACAAATAAAGTCAGATCTAAATAATTGGAAAAACATCAGTTGCTCATGGGTAGGCTAAGCCAATATAATAAAAATGACAATTCTACCTAAGCTAATTTACTTATTCAGTGCCATATCAATAAAACTACCAAAAAATTATTTTATAGAGCTAGAAAAAATAGTAACAAGATTTATCTGGAAGAATAAAAGATCCAGAATATCAAGAGAACTAATGAAAAGGAATGCTAGGGAAGGTGGCCCAGTCATACCAGATCTTATATTGTATTATAAAGCTGCAATCATCAAAACTACTTGGTACTGGCTAAGAAATAGAGTGGTAGATCAGTGGAACAGGTTAGGTTCACAAGACACAGTAGTCAATGAGTATAGTAATCTACTGTTTGATAAACTCAAAGACTCCAGCTTCTGGGATAAGAACTCATTATGTGACAAAAACTGCTGGGAAAACTGGAAAAGAGTATGACAGAAATGAAGCATAGACCAAAATCTAACACCATACACCAAAATAAAGTCAAAATGGGTACATAATTTAGATATAAAGGCTGATACTATAAGCAAACTGGAAGAGCAAGGAATAGTTTACCTGTCAGATTTATGGAGAATAGAAGAATTCATTATCAAATAAGAGACAGAGAACATTTTGAAATGCAAAATGGATAATTTTGATTACATTAAATTGAAAAGGCTTTGTACAAACAAAGCCAATGCAACCAAGATTAGGAGGGAAGCAGAAAACTAGGAAAGAATTTTTACAACCAGTGTCTCTGATAAAGGCCTCATTTCTAAAATATATAGAGAACTAAGTCAAATTTATAAGAATACAAGTCATTCCCCAATTAATAAATGGCCAAAGGATATAAATAGGCAGTTCTCAGATGAAGAAAATAAAGCCATCCATAGTCATATGAAAAAATGTTTTAAATGACTATTGATTAGAGAAATGCAAATCAAAACAACTCTGAGGTACCACACCACACCTATTAGATTGACTAATATGACAAAACAGGAAAATGATAAATATTGGAGAAAATGTGGGAAAATTGGAATGCTAATGCATTGTTGGTGGAGTTGTGAACTGATCAAACCATTTTGTTTTAGGGGTAGCTCGGTGGCAAAGTGGATTGAGCACCGGCCCTGAAGTCAGGAGGACCTGAGTTCAAATCTGTCCTCAAACCAAACACTTGACACTTACTAGCCAATTGCCTAAAAATTAAAAAAAAAAACATTTTATTTTGTTTTTTGTTTTTGGCTAGGCAATGGGGTTAAATGACTTGCCCAGGGTCACACAGCTAGTAAGTGTTATATGTCTGAGGCTGGATTTGAACTCAGGTCCTCCTGAATCCAGGGCTAGTGTTCTATCCACTGCGCCACCTGGCTGCCCCTGGAGAGCAATTTGGAACTACGCCCAAAGGACTATAAAAATGTGCATACCTTTTGACCTAGCAATAGCACTTCTAGGGCTGTATTCCAACGAGATCATAAAAATGGGAAAAGGAGCCACATGCACAAAAATATTTATAGCAGATCTTTTTGTAGTGGCAAAGAAGTGGAAATTGAGAGAATGCCCATCACTTGGGGAATGGCTAAATGAGTTGTGGTATATGAATGTAATGGAATACTATTGTGCTATAAGAAATGATGAACAGGCTGACTTCAGAAAAACCTGGAAAGACTTATATGGTCTGATGCTGAGTGAAGTGAGCAGAACCAAGAGGACTTTGTACACAATAACAGCCACGTTATGCAATGACTAAGATTGTTAAACTGAACCCTTCTCAGCATTATGAGGATCTAAGACACCTCCAGA